CCCCCAACCACAGGTTGAGAACCGCTAGCAGGGTCACCTAAGGCCATAAGAAAGGTTGAGAACCACTGCTCTAGGTGAAGGCTGACTTCCCTAACATTCTCGGAGGCAACACTCAAGGGCTTCAAGTCATTAAGGGACAAAGTGTAATCAGAAGAGAACTGAAGAGCCTTAAAGGGGAATTAAGAGGCGACTAGTGTTAGGAGTCTGAAGGAAGTGTTACAGGGGTTGGAATTACTCAGCTCACAGATGTTTGATCAGCAGCGGTGTGCCTGGACCCACGCCCCTGTCTGCTGGTGGCCAGGAGGATACACATTGGCAATGGAGGGATGGACATTGGCAGGGAGAACTCGGGGGAGCAGCACCGGCTTTCATTCAGCGAGAATGGCGGCCGAATGGCTTTCTGAGGCAGCTAGCAATCATAGACGATAAAGATGCCTGCTTGCCTCCAGCTGGTGTGGCTCAGTGGTTGAGCATTAACTCATGAATCAAAGAGTCACTGGTTCGATTCCTGGTCAGGGCACGTGCCCGGGTTTGGGGCTTGATTCCTAGTAGGGGTGTACAGGAAGCAGTTGATGGATCTTTCTCTCTCTCGGGTGTCTCTATCTCTATCCCTCTCCTTTCCTTTCTCTCTAAAAAATCAATAAAACATTAAAAGAAGAAGAAGAAGAAGGAGAAGAAAGATGTGTGCTTCAGATTGTTCCCATGCTGCTCTGGGACAGAGACTTACATCCTTCCAGATTCTAGCTCATTGATCCCTCAAAGTTTTGCCTCCCACGGAACAATGCTACCTGGGTGTAGGCATGAAGCCCTTATGTTCAAGCCCTTAATTGCAATGGTGTGTTTATTCAGTTCGGCAAGTACTATTCAAAGTGCTAGCATTCTTGGCTCAAAACACTGACTTGTATCCTATTTTTCATACAATTGACTTTCTTCACCGTGACTGGGCCAACCCTCCACACGCGGGCCTTGGGGTGTTGTGATGCTAGTCAAGGTCTCTAAGCCGATCCCCTCATGGTGCCCCAAGCTAGGAGCTTCAAGAGAGCGGGCAGGAGGCAGACAGAGTAAGAGGCAGGACTTGCCCCGCCCCCTTTTCCAGAAGCACCGCTGTCCCTGGGAGGCTCTGGGAGGCTGAGAAGGCGCCCCAAACTCTGCTGCTCTCCTGGGAGTGACTCTCCAGTGCCCGCCACTCCCTGAACTTCGGTTTCCTCATTATAAAAAAGAGGGGCCTGTTTGACCTGGAAGGTTCCACCCAGCAGCCTCCCCCAAGAGGGAGGGAGAAATCTTTTTCAAGAAAAGACTTTTGCCCCTTTGGTCTTCCATGTTTCATAGGAGCTGTCTCGTCTCTGCACCTTAGTCCCAGCCAAGCCATCCTGCATTGTCTTTTTTTTTTTTAATATATATTTTTTTATTGATTTCAGAGAGGAAGGGAGAGGGAGAGGGAGAGAGAAATATCAATGATAAGAGAGAACCATGGATCAGATGTCCCCCGCTGGGGAACCAAGCCCACAACCCCAGCATGTGCCCTGGCTGGGAATTGAACCTCGACCTCCTGGGTCATAGGTCGATGCTCAACCACTGAGCCACACCAACTGGGCACCATCCCATGTGTCTTAATTCCATAGGCCTGTCCATAGCTCCTCATTACATCTAGGCAGGGTTTCTCTCCATCACTCATTTCCTCAAGAAAGTTGGCCAACTCCTGATTCTTTACTGTATTTTTTTCCCCTTCACCTCTCAGAATTAGCCCTCACCTCCTGCCAATAGCCCCTTACCCTTAAAAAAACACCTCTGAAGTCTGCCCAGAAGTGCCTACACCTGTGGTTGGCAAACTGCGGCTCGCGAGCCACATTCGGCTGTTTGGCCCCTTGAGTGTGGCTCTTCCACAAAACACCACGGCCTGGACGAGTCTATTTTGAAGAAGTGGCATTAGAAGAAGTTGAAGTTTAAAAAACGTGGCTCTCCAAAGAAATTTCGATCATTGTCCTGTTGATATCTGCCTCTGTGGACTAATGAGCTTGCCGACCACTGGCCTGGACCATAACCGTAGTTGGTGTCATGTTCAGAGAAAGCATCATCGTCCGGGGAGCAATAGAGGCCGTCTGACGGTCTGAGATGTCTGTGTTGAATGTTTCTTTCCATAGAACAGCTGTGGACAACGGAAAACGTATCCAAGACCCTGGACACGGAAGGGGACGCTCCCCTGGAGGTAGGATTGGCTGTGGTGAGAGTGTCTGTGGATCTACTCACGGCATTTTGATAAAACACTCAGTAAAGGGCTCTGGCTGAGGCCGTCTTGGTCAGAGAAGGGAGGTGTGCAGCAAGCTTCCGAATTTGTGAGGACAGCCATGTGGAAAGCAATCCTTATCCCTCCCCCCGCCCCCACCCAGACTTCTTCGGTGCTCCCTCAGAGACCACACTTAGAAGTGGGAAGCAGGTTTCCCCCATCACTCGCTGAGTGGTCTTGTGAGAAGAACGTCCTCGGTTAGGAACAAATAGAGCTAAAGCCCTTTGCCTTCCAGATCTATGAGAATCCAAGGGGACGTTACATGTAGAAGTATCACATGGCGGGAGAGGCAAAAATTCACATTTCCGTGGCTGTTTCTCAACTCCTCCCCACTCCGAAATACAGCGGGTCCTGGGAGGACCTTCACCGATAGGCAGCTGCCAAGGCATGAGCTCTCGAGACAAGGGCAATCCATGCCTCCATCTACCAGGACCCTAAACAGAGTTCAGCCAGCAGGAGAAATCTACTTGTTCCGTTTTGCTTGTCAACGTCTGGGGGTGGTTCTTGCTGTACTTTGTCATTCAGACCACGGCTCGAGGGCTAACGCACCTTACACAGGCTAAGAGAGCCTTAGCAAGCAGAGACCTCCGGGTCAGCAGTAACGGGGGCCGACAGGACATGTAAAGAAAGCATCCTCTAGACCAGCGGTCGGCAAACTCCTTAGTCCACAGAGCCACATATCAACAGCACAACGATTGACATTTCTTTGGAGAGCCACATTTTTAAAACTGCAACTTCTTCTAACGCCACTTCTTCCACATAGACTCGCCCAGGCTGTGGTATTTTGTGGAAGAGCCACGCTCAAGGGGCCAAAGAGATACATGAGGCTTAAGAGCCGCAGTTTGCCGACCACGGTTCTAGACCCTTGGAGAGAAAGCCCTGCTAGCACTCCGTCCATGCCTGCTGCGGAATCCGAATCCGCAGTCTTGGGAACTCCCTGTTCTGGGTTGGGAGGCTCCCGCCCCCGGACTCATGAATTGGAGTTCAGGTTACAGTTCCTTTTGCTCTTCCTCTAACGAAGCCTGAGGATCCCTGAAGGAGGCACCGGCCCTGGACAATGCATTCCTGGGCAAAGGGAAGGAACAGCTTCTTCTAAAAAGAAATAAGAATGACCCCGATGTTCTCACTGATCACAGAATGGCTCGTTCTTCCTCCTTTTCCCACTCCCTCTTCCTCCTCCCCTCCCTTTCCTCCTCCCTCTTTTCTTTCAAGCTTCACGTCTCTATTCCCGCGTTACATGAATCCTCAGAGCTGATAAGGCCGGCTCTCACTCGCTTAGGAAGTTAATATTTTCCTTGTATCTTGTAGTATTTCCCAGAGAGGTGGAGCGACTTTCCCTTGTGCTTTCCCAGCGTAGGGCCGACTTCCTGAAAGCATTGTGAACCGTCGGCACAATACTTTGCTTTCTAAATCGTCCAGACCTGCAGCCGCTGCTAAGCAGCAGCAGCTCTAATGGGAGGGACCCACGCCGCTGGACCAGGGCTCTAGGGGGCGGGACCCTGGGGTTCACCAGGGCCCCTCGGAGCACCCAAGGGCCGCGCTGGGAGAGGCGCTGCAGTGCCGGGTGGGAGGCACGGAGAGGCGCCACACAGGCCTTCAAACCAGAGGCAGCCCCTTTGCCAAGGACTTGCATTCCTGAAGGGCTCGGGGGTCCCTCCTCTGAAAGGCGGATCCCCAGAGAGGGACACGCGGGTTGCACTGACGCCCTAGCTTGAAGGAGCTCTCCGGGTGCCCTTTGGGTCGTCAGTTGGGGAGAGCGCTTGGGGCCTCTGGCTAGGCCAGCTCAGACCCATGCCTCCTGGCGGAGCGGGAGGGAGGGGTGGATAACGGGGATCCCAGACCAGAGGAGGCTTTTTTTGGGGGGGGGGGGGAAAGACACCTAAGGCTAGGGAGGCCATGGGCAGGTGGGGGCGCGGGGCAGGACTCCGCAGGGAGGAGGCGGGGTCCTTCAGACGGGCGCTGGCTCAGCCACACCCGACCCCCCGGACCCCACCCTGCGCTCCCCTTGGTCCCAGAGGGGAGCTCCAGAATGCACTGGAGAGGTTTCTGCCCCGGCTCCCCGGAGAGAGACGCGGGGAGCCCAGCTCCGTGACAATCTGCCCGCACCCACTGCGGATCTTGCGTGCCCTGCAGAGCAGGCCGGTCCCGCAGGGCGGCGGGAGGAGGAGCGCGGAGCTCCACGGCCGCCGAGCCCCCGCCCGCCGGCCAGCCAGTCGGCGGCGCGCCCCGCGGCCAGGCCTCCCGGGCGGCGGGCACGCGCGTCCCGGGCCCGGCGCCCTCCTGCCGGGAGCCCCGGACCGGCTGCAGCCGGCGCGGCCCGGGCCTGGGGGCGGAGCCCGGGAGGGGGGCGGGGTCTGGCGGGCGGCGGGTGTCGGGTTGCCCCGGTAACGGTGACGTGCCGGCGTGGGCGGGGCCGGCGCGCAGGTTGCATATTTTAGGAAGTGAGGAGGCGGCGCGGGCCGGAGCTGCGGCGGGGTCTGGGGCGCGGAGCAGCGGCGGGAGGAGCAGACACGTGGCAGCAGCAGCGGTAGCAGCCCCGGCGGCGGCGGCATCGGCCCGACCGCCGGCCGTCCTCCCTCCGGCCCGCCCCGCGGCTCCCCGAGCGCCCTCCTCGCCTCGCACCCGGGCGCTCCTGTTCGGCCGGGAGCTGCTCTCTGCTCCCCTCTGATCCTCCTCCAGCGGCAGGACCCGGTGCCGGGCGCCGACCACCGCCACCATGGGGAAGGGGGTGAGTGCGGGGCGCGGGGCGGGAGGCGCAGCGGGGGGCGTAGAGGGGGAGACAGGAGGGCGCCCGCCCGCAGGCGGCCGGCGGGGAGCGGCGAGGCGAGGAGGAAGCGGCGCGGGCTGGCGGGCGGCGGGGCTGAAAAGACGACGCACTTGGGAAATGGAGGGCGCGCAGCCCGGGGCCGCGGGCGGGCGGGCGGGGGAGGGAGGCAGCGCCGCAGGGACGGCGCGCGCGCCCCGGAGAGGGGCTGCGGACCCCCAGCCCGAGGGCGCCGCGGGGCCGGGAGGAGGAGGAGCGGGGCGCACGGGGGCTGCGCCGCCGGGAAGGGGCCGGCCGCCGGCAGCACCCGCGCGCCCGCGCCCTCCCCGCGCCGCCCTCACCTCGCGCCGCTCGCCTTCCTCTTCCCCCGGCCCTGGAGCCCGGCGCTCCTCCCCTTCCCCCGGCGCTGCGCCCGCCCTGCCTCCCTCCCGGCCGCCCTGCCCGCCGCGGGGGGCGCCGGGGGCTGCGGACGCGGGGGGGTGGGCGGCCGGGGTCCGCGCTCCCTGCCTCCCCGGGGGCGCCGGGCCGGTCCGCTCCCCGCGGCGGCGGCGCCCTTCCCCCGCGGACACGCTGCCTTCCTCCGCTGCGGGGCCGCCTGCGGGCCGGTGCCAGCAAGGGTGTGTCTGCGCCGCCCGGAGACGCCTTTAGGTACACTTCTGAGAGCCGCACTGGAGACTTTCCATAAACACAGGATGTGCCCGAAGCACCCACCTTGGGGAGGGGGGTGTCGGGTTTTTATTATTTTCTTTGAATATTGAACGTGGAAGGAGACTGGCTGGCCCAGCAGGGCCTCTGGGTGCAATAAACCCGAAAAGCGCTGGAGGCCGCTGTCAGGAGGAACCTGCAGAGCCCTTCCCCAGGGAAGGAGGGGGCTCCGGGCGGGGCTGGGGGGAGCGGGCGCCTCTGGCACCCACCTGGCTGTCATGGGGGCAGTGAGAAGGCCGGTCCCCGACCCCGGCGGCGCCACAGTCTGGTGGAGACTTTATACAAAAGAACCCCCTCCCAAGTATCAATTCATGGGATCCAAAATGGCCAGGTCATGACGGTGCCCCCTTCTCGCGGGTATTGACCTGCACCCGCGTTTAGCAGGTCTGTGAAGGTCCTTGGGGCTCCTGCGCAGTGAGGGATGGGGGATGGGGGAGGAGGGGGAGGGAGGCTGCACCCTGACTCCATGGCTGATGGAGGAGGGAGATGGAACAGCCTGGGTGACCTGGTAGGGAGATGTGGGAATGCAGCCACTTGTATCTTTTGAAAAAGCACAGAACGTGGAGGCCTGACCCAGGTCAAGTAGGTGAAGGCCAGGAGCCTGTTGGTATTCCTCACGGTGGGAACTGGGTTAGTGGCCTGTGTGTGTACCACGCCAGCCAACTCTGAGCCGTACCTCTAAACAAGCTCTTGAAAGCTTCAACCTGCTATCTCTTAAGCCACTCAAATTAAAAAAAAAAAAAAGAAAGAAAAGAGAGTCAATTTCCTGAGCCAGACATAACTGATTTGTGAGGGTTAGAGGTCATAGCTATGTACCTGAGGCCTAGGAAGGTGAAATGACTCGCTCAAGGTCAAATGGTTCCTTAGTGGCTCAGCAGATGTCCCTCATTCGCGAGCAGCCTGCGGCCTCCCCAGTCTGAACGCAGGCTCCCTTCTCCCCACTGCCGCATATGCAGAGCTCTGCAGTCATTCCTCACCCGAAACGGGGGCATTTGTGTTACCGAGTGGACCAGAGAAGATGTCTGATCGCATCGGTGCCTCTTTCGTAACCACACGTATGCACGGCAGCACGCCTGGGTTGCTGAGGGTCGATCCAGACGCCTTATGCATCCTAATAAAATGCCTAGCGCCTGGCAAACACGGAATTGAATTAAAACGGGCTAACGCAAGATGATCTTATTTTCTGGGCTGCATTGGCTATTTTAGATAGTCTCATCATTTGGCCAGTAAAGGGTGTGTGTGTGTTGGTGCTGGTTTTCCTTGGATATAGTTACCCTTTTTGTCCCCAGTGACTGACTGACTGACTGTGATAGTTCAAATGCTCAGAAGGATATTTTATGCTGAAATGTTAAGGATTTTTCCACACGAGGATTAAAATGTGGGTGGAGTGGTGACTAAAGCCCTGCTGATAATTGGTTAACCAGGAAGCCCTGTGCCGGCAGCTAATTTTTAAGGTCATTGTTAATGTCTTCCCCTCCTCTTCCCACTACCGGTGGGAACCGAGGTTTTGATGGCATTTCAGGTGCTTTTTATTTCTCCTTAAAAAAAAAAAAAAAAAAAAAAAAAAAAATCCGGATCCCTAAGCTTTTGCTAGGAACGCGAGAGAACAGCTGAATCATTCCTGGATGAAATAGGATTGTGTCCCTTTTTCTTTCAGTGGGTGTTTTTTTTGTTTGTTTTTTTTGTTGTTTGTTTTTTGTTTGTTTGTTTTGCCAGTGACTTGGCTTAAATCTGCAGCTAGGCCTGCCACCCACAACTGGTTAGCCACAAGGTACAAAAAACTGTCTCTTCTCAAGTTTGCAGAAGGTGTGGGGGGGGGGGGGTGCACACACCACCAGGCCCTTCACCGTGGCAGCCCTCCATTGTGTGAATATTAACTCCTTCACCTGGAGAAGGAACCCTCGCCCGGAGCCGTGGTTTCCAGGGGAAAGGGTTCAGGTGAAGGTTGCCCAGGGGATATACATGTCAGCAGAAATCCGGGTCCTCTGGTGGCATTATCAGCTGCCCTTTTGGAGCTGCACTGGAAAGTGTGACTACATCTCCTCCGGCTGCTATAAAGCTAGTACTTTAGACCGAAAACTGCCAGACAGAGCCCTCGACTACATGCACAGGGGCCCCGGGCCTGGCAGGTGCAGCCCTTGGCCGGGAGGGGCAGGAGGGACTGGGGGCAGAGCGAAGGGGGCGGGTTGCATCACACCCTTTGCCCGTGTGAAGTGTTTGGCCAGCAGGACAGCTCCCTGCTCTGTGTTCTCTCTGTACCCTGTTCTGAGGGTGTATCCTCTTTGGGCAACTTAATGTTTAATTTGTAGTGTTCTCTGCCAGTAAGTTTGTAACACGCCAGTGACTCACCTTGGGGTGGGAGGGCAGAAATGGGGAGGTCTGCATCGTAAATCTGCATCGTGATTGAGAGGAAGCTAACCCTGACACACACACACACACACACACACACACACCCCAAAAAAGGGGGGGGGGGGTGTAAAAAAAAAACCCCAGTAAGATGTTTATCCAGATGAGGGCTAAAGCTTAACATGTGCAGACCCCTGGAAGGCTTATTCCTCAATTGCCTTTAAAAACAAAAAGAGGGCTCAGCACCCGTGCTCCACCCCAGAACCCTTCTGAGTCCTGGTTTTCTGGCAATGGTTAGCCACACACTGACAGGTGAGTGAGGCTCTGTTCCAGGCCGGCTGTGTTCTTCTCAGCATGTCCCAACGTAAGAAAGAAAGAAAAAGAGGCTTTGACATGGAAAAGTGAGATTAGTAACCTATTTCTTTTAAAAAAAAAAAAAGAAAAGAAAAGAAAAAGAGAGAGAAGCCAGCTCTGTTCTGCTCAGCTGAGAGCAGGCGAGTGGGGCTGTGGCTGCTGTTGGGGCTTACAACGGGCACTGAGATCAGCTCGTTACAAACTGCGGGTTTTCGTGTCCCTCTTTCAGAACCAGAGGGTCTTTCAGAACCAGAGGGCCTTTCAGAACCAGAGGGCGGCTTTTCTTTCACCTGAAACGCCTGCTTGTCATTAAGGAATGACAAGCAGGGGAAGCACCATTGCCTCCTCGGACATGGCTGGCCTCCTGTTGTGTAGCATCCCAGTGTTGTCACCTGCTTTCACTTTAAAGGATTTGACCTTTTTAAACGTCTTTGTAAAAAGGTCTTGCAAAATAAGTGGGCTTTTCAGTCCCCCACCCCCCTCCTATCCGTGATGAGAGCGGAGAGGGAGGAGAACACGGTGCTGCGCTGCCTCCATCGAGCTGCTCAGGGATCCGTGCCAGCCGGCAGGCCCAGGAGAAACACGAGTGTCAGATCAGATGGGCACACAGGAATCAGAGTGGCTGCGTCTGGGCAGCAAAGCACTGGGCACCATGTGCCCTCGTCCCTGCCAGAGCTGTCCAGGCCTGCATGACGCCGAGAAGGCACGTCATGGGGAGCAGAGAGAATTTTAAAATCCTCTGGCTGCTGTGTTTTATTTATTTATCTATTTTTTTAAACCGTCCTTCCTTTCTATCTACGCTTTTGGAAAAGGAGAGTAACCAGGCCAGGTTTTGGGCTTTCTCACGTTGCCATGAATTGAGTGGATGAGAGGAAATGTGTTCCTTGGCTGGGGCCAGAGAAAGACTGTTCTTTGCATGTGACTCACCTCATTAGTTGTGCCGAAATCTGCTGTGAGGAATCCACAAGACGCTCCTCACATTTGTGTGACTGGTGTCTTCGGGGAGAGCAGATTCTGTCAGAATAGAGCTGCCCTCCCCTTTACTCCCCACCCCACCCCACCCCGCAGTTTTTCTCTGGTTCCATTTGGATCCCGAGCCAAGAGAATTATGGCCAATAGACCTCATTCCTTAGTTCCTCTGTGACTTGACAGTGAATTATATCTGCACGTTCATTATCTCCGTGTCTGATTTTATTCGAACCCCCATTTAGTGACAGCTGTTCGATGCTCTCTGTCGGTCGGAAATGCTGGCCCTGGGCCGTGGGCTTTTGTCCTTGGGGGTCCGCTCCTCAGAACCGGAGGCTTCGGGCCTGTGAGTCTTGGCATTGGATGTGTCTGTCCGCTCTGTCATCTCGGTGAGGGCAGGGAGTCATGTTGTGTTTCTCTCTCATCCCCCTGGATGCTTGCATGGCGCCATACTTATTTCATTGTTTCCCTCACATGACATGTCCCCGGGGCCTGGCTGCCTTTTCTCCTCCGGAGCCTGGCAGCTCATGCACTTCCTGCCCCGCCTGCAGGCACCATGAGGAGTGGTCAGGACGCCTTGGGAGCCGATGGATTCAGGCCACCGGGAACCCCGGGGCCAGTTCTCTCTCAAACCCACACTGTTGGGGAGCCCTGGCCCAGGAGCCCCGTGGCTGAGGGAACAGCAGAGGGAAGGGGGGCGGGGGGAGCAGGCAGGAGGTTTGAAGTCCAGGAGCCCAGGTGCTTAAGGTAGAGGCAGAAGGCCCCATGGAAAGGGAAGGGTTTGCTTTTTTAAATGGAAAATAAAAACAAAGCACATTTCCAGAAAGGGAGTAGATTTGAAGTCTACAGACACATGAGCAGTTTTAGGATTCCTTTTGATCCTGGAGGACGTACACTATGGCAGGCGGGGTGGGCTGGCAGCCGGGTAGGAAATGTACATGCAGGCATCCATGATTTGGGGCTGAGGGAACCCACAGGCCTGGGCCAGAGCTGTTTTCTGTGCCCGCTGCTGGCTGGTGGGCTCTGCCCGGGGTTGGAGGTGCTGAGCTGGGCCCCTCAGGGCACTGTGGGCCTACATGGCCTCAAGGATGGGCTCCAGCCGTGAGAGGAGGGCTGTGGAGGCAGGGGGGGTCCCCTCGGTGCGTGTGGGGTAGTGTGGGTCCTCCACAGTCCTCGGGGACCGGGCTAGAAGGTTCCTTAGACATAAATTAACTGTGGATCTAGTCATTTGGGCGTGAGCACTTCTCACTAAGTTATTTTCTTCGGTTAAAATTATTGGGGTGACATTGGTTAATAAAATCATAGGCTTAAAGTGTACAGATCCATAATACATCATCCATATCTTGTATTGTGTTCCCCACCCCACGTCATGTCTCTTTCCATCACCATGTATCTTCCCCCACACACACCTTTTCCTGTTTTAATTGATGAAATGAAAAAAAAAATACTCAATGAGGTGGTGGTCATTCTTTTTCTTAAGATTAAAAGGAATTTTCATGGCAAGTGAAGAATAGCAGTAATCTATTGACTAAAACCAAGTTATAATAATCTTTTGTAGCTCTTTGCAGATACGTAGGCTCACCTAGACAGTTGTGTTGGTATTGATTATCCGATTGATTAATATCGGATCCCAGGAAGAGTGAAGCCCCCAACCACCACCACCACCACCACCACCACCGTCACATAAAGGAGAGTGGTACCCACACCACTGCCTCCCGGGGGCCAGTAGGGCCAGAGACCAACCCCCCAGCTTCCCTGCTAAGATGGAATTTACCAGATTGGATTCAGAGGTGCCCATTCCGTGACTGACCCTCCTGGTCAGCTTTGGGGGGACTGTGTTTGGGGCAGTCACCCTTCCTGCACTCTGGCCCATCCAGAGTATTTGTAGGTTTTGGAAACTGCGGTTCCCAGGTGTTTCAGATTTGATGGCAGCCCCTTGACTAGTCAGCCTTATCCGGATGCCTTCTCTAGATTCTTTAGGGGTTGCACCAAGTGTTGCTCCCATTTTAGAGGTGAGGAAACTGAGGCTGGCTGTTCAAGACCCTGTAGCTGGCGTAGGCAGAGCTGGAGGGACGTGGGGATGAATTATAGCCTATCCAAGGGCGCGGACAGCTCAGCTTCCAAGAAGAACCCTTGAGACTTTCTCAGCTGGCCTTTCGGAAGGCTGACCTCGGAGCTCCCGGCTGCCCCTGGGGGCACCGTGCTGACAGGTGGGGACGGAGGCCAGGCCTCCGTGATGCATGGCATTGAGAAAGCCCCAGAGGCCTCGCCCCAGCAGAGGCTGGTAGTGGAGACAGAGTGGAGGCTGGGTGGCAGCTTCAGCTTATGCAGAAGTGACTTCTGTCTGGGACGGAAGGGTCTCTCCTGACCCTCCGCACTGTTTGTGTGCCCCTTTAGAACCCTGGGCTAGTCTTCTGAACCTGTCCCTCCTGCCCCACTCACCCCCTTTCAGCTCTTTATTGCCAAAGAGGAGGGAGGAGCCCTCCTTGTAAGGGGTACCCCTCCTTGTAAGGGGTACCTCCCGTTTAGGTTTTTGAGTGAGTAGATTCACCTTGGCTCCTCTGGCCACGAGTCTCCGCTTCCCACTTCCTGGCACCCCTCCCTCCACCCCAGTCGGACGGCAGCCACCTCGGGGTGCTGACTCGGAGGAGAAGATGGGATCCCTGGGACACAGTCATGACACGTGGAGGCGGTGTCACAGTGGGCAAGCCCCTGCCCTTGTGGTGACCTCCCACTTCCTAAATTAGAACAGAACCAACTTCATTCGCACAAGTGGCCCTCCGGAGAAGGGCGTGACATTGAGCTTCCATGGTGCCCTTCCGGAGTCGGCGGGCCCCGGGGGGAAGGGGGGCCGGGGGGGCCGGGCCCCGGGCATGGCGGGCAGTGCCCGGTTCCTCAGGAGAAACCGGAGCTCCGTGCCTAGCGGAGGGGAAGGCCGCCGCAGTCATCCTTCGGGGAAACCCTACTCTCCGTGACCTTGGTGCTTCCAGAACGCTTCTAACGGAGACAATGAAGTGTTGTCTGACCCGTTTTGAAGCCCTGCTCCCCAGACCCACAGTGTAGCCACCCTAACCCAGCCCCCCCCCCCCCCCCCCCAATCCCCATCCCTCCAACCCCGGCCAACACGCACACAACACAATTGTTTCTGCTCTGTGACTGCAATGATGGAGACTGATAGGGACTTCAGTCATGTGCTTCCCATCAAGATAAGCTGTTAACCTATTGTGTTCCTTGTGGGGAAAGAACTGAATTATATACATTGTGTACACCGCCTGGAGGACACAACGCTTCCTAACGGGAAAGATTAACCTGTGAATGCTTCCTGTGTCTCTCACCGCCGTCCTTTCAAACGGCGCCTGGTTCCTAGCAGGACTGATGGGCAGGGGTGGGCTCCGAGGGGATCTCCGTTCTCAGCTGCCTTAGCCATGGGCACCTGAGGCTGTGGGCAAGATTTTTATTTTGTTAAAAAAAAAAAAAAAATGGGGATAAAACGATGGACCATATCCAAGGCCCAGCTAGCTGCTCCATCCTTCCCTCCCGCCTCTTTTAGGTGGAAAATATTGGAAAGTTGCAAAGAACCCAAGCCTCCCTGGTGAGGAGAGCGATTTTAACTCCAATTTCCATACGTTTAAATTAAACGTGTTTTAACGAGGCCCTGGGAGCCGCGTTGTAAAGATCCATACAAACTGGCCACACGAGGCTCCGGGTGCCCGGCTCAGGGGCTTGAAGATGCCTCTTCAGGGCTGTGCTTTCCCATCAAATCTGGGAGGGGGATGTCACTGCCGGCAGGCAGCTCCTCCTCCGGGAGCCTGTCCTTGGTGTCTGCCTGCCTGTCCGCCCGTCCGTCTGTCTGTCTGGGCTCTCGGTTGGCACCAGGGGCCATGTGCACGAGGGCTGGGCCGTGTGTGTGCTCCGCAGCCAGCGGAGGGAATGCCAGGAATGCCGGCTATCTTTAGACCTGCTCCATGCTCCACAGATAAGGCGGAGACAAGAGCTGCTCTGTTGGAAGGAGCTGTGGGTCGAGGGGCCCTGCATGGTGTCCGGGGAGGTGACCCGTGGGAACACAGCACATGTCCCCCCATGTGGGCAGTGCCCACTGGCTGGGGGCGAGGCTTCTCTGTAGAGAATGAAGGGGGTAGTCCCTTCAAGTGAGTATTGTATTTTTAAAAATATATATTTTATTGATTTCTTTTTTTTTTTTTTTTTACAGAGAGGAAGGGAGAGGGATAGAGAGTTAGAAACATGGATCAGCTGCCTCCTGCACGCTCCCTACTGGGGATGTACCCGCAACCAAGGTACATGCCCTTGACCGGAATTGAACCCGGGATCCTTCAGTCCACAAGCCGACGCTCTATCCACTGAGCCCAACCGGTTAGGGCTGAGTATTGTATTTACTTGCGACCATACCAGGCATGACTGAAGCATACCTGTACCCCGGCGTTTTTTTTTTGTTGTTGTTGTTTATTTAATTTTATTTTCAGCGAGATGGAATTTTAATCTGGACTCACGTCCCTCCTCCTTGCCTTAGTAGCTGGGCATGCGCCCCCCGCACATCCGAAATAACCGTACTGACACCAGGGAGCCTCTGATCTCATAACGGGGCCGATCATCTCCTTTCTTTGCCCTTCTGGGTGGCAGGTGGGGGCGAGGGGCCTGTCTGGAGCAGGGGGCCGGCCCGGCAGCTGCAGGTCTGGGCCGTGGAGAGGAACGCGAGCATTGTACATGGGTGGGCGTGTGCAAGGAGCTAAATTTAAACCAGGGAATCGACATTTTTCTCTAGAAATTGTTCCACTTTTCAAGAGGCGTGGGAGGATCCTGTGAGCTCCCTAATGGAGCACATGCTTTCCCCACATCCTGCTCACGTCAAAACAAAACCAGCAACTTTCGTCTGGGGTTCTCTCTCCAGGCTGCGGGGCGGGGTGGGGGCCCCCTGATTTTGCTGTTTCACGGGGTGAGTGTTAAGGACTGAGGTTGACCTGCTCACGGAAAAAGGGGAAGGTCAGCATTCTTAGGTGAGCCCCCAAATTAGGTATGTTTGATACGTAGTGACTTCTTTGCCAAGCCAGGAATTTAAATAAAACTAGTATCTAGATGTATTCTATCATTGAGTCCCTCCAAAACACTGACTGACTATTGTCATCTCCACGCTATGGAGGAAAACACAGATGTAAGCGTTCGGGACAGGCCCAAGGGTTCCCAGCTTGTGCCCCGCCCGGAAGTGGCTGCAGGGCGCACTGAGGTTGCATGGCCTCCCAGTGGCCCTCACGCCCGGGGCAGGTGGTGTGTCCTGAGCTTAGGTGGTGGCCTTGCTTTGTGTGCGGCGTGAGCGCCTCAGTTTCCATGCGGATGGGCCCAGTGACTCGTCACCACGGTGGCTCTCTGAACCCTGCTCAGATCTTCCTAACGAACCGTGTCTCCGCCTTCTCCGTAGGTTGGACGTGACAAATATGAGCCTGCGGCCGTCTCGGAGCATGGCAACAAGAAGAAGATGAAGAAGGAGAGGGACATGGATGAGCTGAAGAAAGAAGTGTCTATGGTGAGTGCCTGGGGGAACGTGGCTTTGTTCCCCTGAAGACTAATGGTCTCTTGAGAGTATGATTCCCCCACCCCCAACACACACCACACACACACACCACACACAGAGACTTGCTTTATTTTTTTTAATATATTTTTATTGATTTCATAGAGGGAGGGAGGGTGAGAGAGAGAGAGAGAGAGAAACAATGATGAGAGAGAATCATCAATCGGCTGCCTCCTGCATTCCCCACACTGGGGAATCAAGACCGCCACCCGGGTGTGTGCCCTGACTGGGAATCGAGCCGTGACCTCCTGGTTCCATAGGTGGACCTATTTATTATGAGCCATTGTCAGTCAGGCGAGGCTTGCTTTATTTTAAAAGCAACGTGGTCGTTAAACTTGTGCAGATTTTATCGGATTGGAAGGCAGTGAGAACATTTTTCGTTTTCACAGCTATCGGGGCCGGAGGGGTTCCCCAGGCCCAGTAGCATAGCCAGAGGGGCCGTGCTTCTCTGCGCTCTGGTTACAGGAGCTTCCGGCCGCTCGGGCTGTGGGCTCCCACAGGTGCAGTCTGTCTAGGACCTCCTTTCTCCCTGCGCCAGGCCGAGGCACTCCCTAGCTCTGTGGTGGCCGAGCTCAGCCCTCCTGCAGGGGGGACTCGGGGGAGGCGGGGCTGCTGGGCCTGCGGCCGTGGGGAGCAGACCAGCCTCTGCCTTGCTTCCGGAGCCCTGGCGGGGATGATGCTCTCTGCCAAGCCTTTCTGACGGCCGTGCTCACCGTGTTTGTTTCTGCTTTTCCTTAGGATGACCATAAGCTGAGCCTTGACGAGCTTCATCGCAAATACGGAACGGACTTGAGCCGAGTATGTTCTCCTTTGAAACTCTTTGTTCAAAAATCCTAATTTCCAGTCTCACACCTGATCTTGGGGGCTCTAGGGGGAACATGACGACAGCCACTATCCGGGTATCTATCTGGTGACATGCACGGCCTGTGTTTTTTTTTTTCTGTTTGTTTTTTTCATACGCTTTTAAAAAAGTATTCTTCCCCCCGAAACTTTGAAAGTGCACATTCATTTCCCTCGTTTTACAGTGGGTGAGAGCCTGTAAAAGGGAGCACCAGGATTTGAAACGGAATAGCTCCAAAGCCGTGGTCATTCCAGCTCTTTGACTACAAATCTTCCCTTTACTCCTCTACGTGGGTTAAATCCCAACAATTCAGATTTTTGCACTTTATCCACTAGCGCATTACCATATGCCAGACCTTGGTCATTTATTTGAAACACACACACACACACCCTTATATTAAAAAACAAAACAAAACAAAAACACAATTCAGAGAAACCTTTAAATAAAGTAGGTGTTCATCTCCTAGAAATTCTGGGGAATAACTTGCATCCCAGCCATTGTGTAGCCATTGTCTCAGCCATGATCCCGATGTTCTAAGACGGCGTGCTGGCCCCGGTACCCGGCCTTGACCCTGAGGCCCCGCTGTCTGTCCCCGTTGGGCAGGCCCTGACCACATCCCCTGGGTTATAACACTGAAGTTTATTCGGTTCCTATGAAGTCCGTTCTCTGACCCGAAGTCATTTTAGTCCAACTCCGTGGACCTGGTTCTCTTCCTGTAAAACGGGATCATTAACACACAGCACGGTGATCGCGGGAACCACATGAGCTGGTTTGGCACGCCGGGGGCAGGGCCCGGTGTGCACCGTGCTCAGAGGCCCGCAGTGGGCTCCGTGCTGCCCCGATCATCACGCCGAGAACTCGAGGCCGAGGAGGGAGGGCCCTACACAGAAAGGGGGAATTTTCATTTTCCCTTTCTGCTGGATTTCCCTTTCCCCACACGCCCGGGTTAGCTCAGATATCAAAGGTAACATGAACCCAGACTGCGTCTTCACACACACATTGGGCAGTCTGATGTCTTTTTCTCTGACTCAGTGTTTTGATGGTGAGAAAATCGCCATGTTTTCCCCCGTAGTCCAGCCTGTGGCTACTGTCTGCTGTCTGCTGTCGGGGGATCTTGGCTTTGAGGCCCCTTTAAAAGTAGAATGGACTCCTCTGTGCAATCCTTCCCAGGTTGGGGGGGGGAGGGTTGTAGCTAACACAGGCATGTGTGTGGGGGGGACACTGTCAGACGGTGGTTTTAATGTCCTCCAGAGAGTAGAGTTCTCTACTTATTTAGCACAAGGCTGCTGACCTAATAGCAGGTGGGATTCCTACAGATTTTTTTTTTTATTTATTGAGGGGTGTTTTCCTCCCTGACAAATTCAATAGAAGAAAATTCAAAGCTCTTAATTTGCAAAGCTAAAGCAGTTACTGAATCAGTTATCTAAATATATTGTTGGTAAAAAGTGCAGGTTAGCAAAATCTCTTACATCTTAGAAAGCGTACTGGGTTTGGGTTTGTCCACAGGTCAGTTTTAAAAACCATTTCCGTCTGGACGCCGTGGCTTCCTGGGGAAACGTGGGCTGTTGAGGGGGACCCTCGCCAGGACCTGTCGGGGTCTGCCTTGGCGTGGGGAATGCTTCCTTCCGGAACCTCCATCACGGCGTTCCGGCTCCCGGGCGGGTGTGGTGCCTCGTCGGAGGCTGGAGCCAACTGTCTTACCTCCGTCCCTCTACTCCTCAGGGCCTGAGCACGGCTCGGGCTGCCGAGATCCTGGCCCGCGACGGCCCCAACGCCCTCACCCCCCCTCCCACCACCCCCGAGTGGGTCAAGTTCTGCCGCCAGCTGTTCGGGGGGTTCTCCATGCTGCTGTGGATCGGAGCGATTCTCTGTTTCCTGGCTTACGGCATCCAGGCTGCCACGGAAGAGGAGCCTCAGAATGACAATGTGAGTCCCGCAATCCGGCACGCTGGGTCTTCACTGCCCGGTGGTGTTCGGCTGCCACTAGCGTCTGGGTGGCCTTTAACGCCAGGGAAGAGCTGCCTGCAGGGGCCCGCCCATCGCTCCTCCGACGGGGGTTTCTCTCTCCCTCCCGGCCCTGTGGAGGCTCCCGCTAGCCGCCCGCTGCCCTGCTGGTGCTGCCGGGACGGGCGGCCTGTGCGGGTCCAGGTGCCGCTCGCTTAGGTGACAGGCCACACTTTTAACCTTGATTGGCACATTACCACATTGTCTGGAGAGGTTTGCTAGCTGTTTTTTCAAGTGTCACAAGTTCCAAGAATATCCTTGGTTTGATAAAAGCAGGACAAACTGTATCAGCACGTTTCCAAACGTCTATCTGGTTAGTGACCCAGTGACCATGGGCCTCCATTTGGGACTCTCCTGGCCATGGATTTATATATATTTATATATATATATATATATATATATATATATATATATATATATATTATATTGATTTTTTAAAGAGAGGAAGGAAGAGGGAGAGGGATAGAAAGTCAGAAACATCAATGAGAGAGAGATATCAACCAGCTGCCTCCTGCATATCTCCTACTGGAGATGTGCTCACAACCAAGGTACCTGCCCCTGACTAGAATCGAACCCAGGACCTTTCAGTCCCCAGGCCAACGCTCTGTCCACTGAGCCAAATGGGTTTCGGCTGGACATGGATTTTAGAAATACAAATGAGAAGACCCGAGTGCTTGGTTTCCAAAGCCTCAGTCCCTGTTAGGAATCTGGGTTTCCGTCCATGGGAAGTGCCTGGGTGCTCCCAGTCCTTGGCCCGGAGCCGTGGGCGCTAACCCGCCTGTCCCCTCGCAGCTGTACCTCGGCGTGGTGCTGTCGGCGGTCGTCATCATCACCGGCTGTTTCTCCTACTACCAAGAGGCCAAGAGCTCCAAGATCATGGAATCCTTCAAGAACATGGTCCCGCAGGTACCTGCTCTGTCCCGTCCCCGGGCTGACGGCCCAGGCGTGTGAGCGGGTGTGAGGTTGGGTTTTATAAGAATTCAGTGACTGGGGGGGCGGGGGATGCTTCACCTCCCCCCGACTCTGTGCCTGTCTCCCCTCTGGACGGGGAGGGAGCAGGCCATGGGAGGGAGAGGACCCGCTCTGAGCCATGGAGCAACTTTTGTCACTTGGACAGATAAAAAGGTTAACATTGTCATTAGTGCGAATAAAAATAATATCCATTACACATCCGGGTGATTAGAGTTACAGATCGTAGGGTAGCTTGGGTTTTTTTTTGTTTTGTTTTTTTTCTTTTTTTTTGACACTACCTTCCTTTCGGTGTCATTTTTGTCTGACTTAACGGTGTAAACGTTTCCCCCTCCAAAGCAAGCCCTGGTGATCCGCAACGGTGAGAAAATGAGCATCAACGCGGAGGAGGTGGTGGTCGGGGACCTGGTCGAAGTGAAGGGCGGCGACCGGATCCCGGCTGACCTCAGGATCATCTCTGCCAACGGCTGCAAGGTAGGTCGGCACAGACACACACACACACATTCACACACACACACACACACACACACTGTGTGGGCATCAGGGGCACAACGGCCCGTGGCGAGCCTGTGCCCTCCCAGTACTGACCTCTCTCCTCGCCGGCAGGTGGATAACTCCTCGCTCACCGGCGAGTCGGAGCCCCAGACCCGGTCTCCCGACTTCACCCACGAGAACCCCCTGGAGACCAGGAACATCGCCTTCTTCTCCACCAACTGCGTGGAAGGTAGGCCTCGGGCCCTTGTCTTAGTTGCTAGCAACAAAAACAAAACAAAACAAAAATCCCAGACACGCTTTCTGTGTCCACGTTCCTGGCTTTGTTTCTGGCCACTTCGGTCCAGCCCGGCCGAAGAGGCTCACCGGCTGGCAAGGAAGCCTGCGGCCGCTCCTGCCCTCCCCGCCCCCCTGCGGCTGCGCCTCCAGCTCGGCGTTCAGAGCTACTCGCCACCCAGGGACGGAGAGCCTCTGTGGTTTCAAACCAACGGCGTAGAGCACCCAAGAGCTGGCCCTTAAAGATGTGTTTCTTTTAAATTTTTTAAAAAAATAATAATTTCAGAGAAAAAGGGAGAGGGAGACAGAGAAACATGGGATTAAGCCCACAACCCTGGCCTGTGCCCCGACGGGGAATCGAACGCCGGCTGCGTCTTGAACCATGCAGGCACCTGCACTGTCCGTGGCTGCTCTGGTAACCTCTGGTGCGACCCCCTCCCCCTCCCCCACCCAGGCACTGCCCGCGGCATTGTCGTGTACACCGGAGACCGCACCGTCATGGGGAGGATCGCCACGCTGGCCTCGGGGCTGGAGGGCGGCCAGACGCCCATCGCCGCGGAGATCGAGCACTTCATCCAGCTCATCACGGGCGTGGCCGTGTTCCTGGGCGTGTCCTTCTTCATCCTCTCGCTCATCCTCGAGTACACCTGGCTGGAGGCCGTCATCTTCCTCATCGGGATCATCGTGGCCAATGTGCCCGAAGGTCTGCTGGCCACCGTCACGGTACGAGGCCGGCGCTCAGGGGTCGGGTGGGCTCGGATCGGCTCCCGTGGGTGGGAGGCTCGGCCACACCCCTCCCGGGGGCCGCCCGCCTCGGTTTTATCGCCCCCCGTGTTGTGTGGAGATTTTGTCCAGAGCCACATGATGGGCGTGGGCAGTGGGGGGACCGAGGCGTATTGTATGCGGATGATAGTGATCCAGAAGCATGAACTCTGTGCTTGTCACGTGTTCCAGAATAGTCCAGCAGAGAAAGGAAGCATGGGGTTGAGTGGGGGACCCGAATGTGCCAAGTCCCGGCTGTTTTCACTTTCCTTAATGTCTTGCTTATTTTGGGGGAAGGGGAATCCCCTATCCATGGCTCAATTATTATTATTGTTGTTATTTTAAATATATTTTAAAATATGTTTTTATGATTCCAGAGAGGAAGGGAGAGAGAGAGAGAAATATCAGTGATGAGAGAATCATTGATCAGCTGCCTCCTGCATGCCCCACACTTGGGGATCGAACCTGGGACCCTCCAGTCCGCAGGCCGATGCTCTATCCGTTGAGCCAAACCATTGAGGGCTTGGACAAGTACTCTTTGTTCCGACTTCGGAGGAAGGTTGGAGACCTAACGTTAGACAGTTCCATGTTAGGGCGCAGCCACCATGTGAGAATTTCCACGCGGGGCAGACGGGAGTGACCCGGTTCCTGACGCCCCCCAGGTGTGTCTGACCCTCACGGCCAAGCGCATGGCCCGGAAGAACTGCCTGGTGAAGAACCTGGAGGCCGTGGAGACGCTGGGCTCCACGTCCACCATCTGCTCCGACAAGACCGGCACGCTGACGCAGAACCGCATGACCGTGGCCCACATGTGGTTCGACAACCAGATCCACGAGGCCGACACCACGGAGAACCAGAGCGGTGAGGCCCAGGGGTCCACACTGCTTTAAAAAAAAAAAAAAAAAAATCACTTTGTCAAGAGTCCAGGGTGTAGATTTTTTTTTTGTTTTTGCACGTCACTAGAAAAACTGAATTTGTCCTACGAATACGGTGGGGAAATTCCTAAAGCCTGATTTTTCCCACTCTCACGGGATGTAAACACAAAAACCCACTGTCTGCCCGTCTTGCCCCCGTCAGGTGTTTCCTTCGACAAGTCTTCGGCCACCTGGCTCGCCCTGTCCAGGATCGCCGGCCTGTGTAACCGCGCCGTGTTCCAGGCCAACCAGGAGAACCTGCCCATCCTGAAGGTACGCCCGCCCGCAGTGCCTTCGCCCTCTGGCTGGGGGGATTGGGTACCACATGGACCACCTGGGAGTGTTCTAATTGATGTATTTCCCAGCATTCCAGAGCTCAGGGCCATGTTAACAGGGTTGTAAGTGTGTGTGTTACCTGAGCTGTGGGCTTAAGGCTGGAATGTTGGCTGAAAGCAGGTGGCCTCCGGCCTGTAGGGACAGCTCCTTGTGGGACGCAGGGATGGGCCGGCGATGCTTGGCCGTGTGGCGTCTTTGCTGCCTGTAGGCCCTGAAGCACTCCCCGTGCCCCCCGTCCATTGGGAAGAAGCGAATCCACAGTAAAGACGGGCTGAGGGAGGGTGGGCGAGGGGAGAGGCCGTCTTTCGTGTGGGCCTCGGTGATAGAAAACCCGGGCGTGTTATTCTGGTGTCTGCGGCTGTCGCCTCACCTGGCGGGCAGCGGGGGCTGCTGGGGCGGCGCTGTAATCGCATTTGCCTGTCCGGGTGCAGGAGGTTCCAGTAAATCCCTTAAGCCCTTTATTTTCTTAAAATAGCCCCGCCGTTTCTCTTATCTCCTTTGTCCTTAGCTGGCTGGCTCATGACGCAAAAATAAGCTCGGCCTCGTGAGGTTTTGGGGGGATATCCGGGGAAGACAGTGTCAGAAAGGGAAGGCTGCACACGGCCCCTGGGACGTGGTGGTCCTGGCCACACCGCGCTGCCCATGGCCGCTCTGGGTAGAGGCCCGGTGGTCAGAGAGGTGGCAGCCCAGATGGGATGGAGGTGGCTTCTGCTGGGCAGATACAGGCCCTATTTGTTTCTTAAAGGGGACTGTCTTCTCTGCTTCCAAGAAGGAATTCCCTGGGCTTCCAGCATAGGGGCTTGCCAGCAGCAAACCTTCCCTGGCTTATTAAAAGCCCCAGGAAGGGAGCTGGAGATGCATTTCCCAGCATTCCCAGGGGTCAGGGCCAGGCTAACAGGATTGAGAGTGTGTGTTGGTTTCGGCTGGAACATTGGCCGGTTGTATCCCTGTCGGGGCTGGCAGCACCTCTCCGTTGGCGTCCATCAGGCCCAGATACCGTCCCACAGCCGTGTTCGGAATGCAGAGTCCCCTGCTTCACCCTTGGCGTGGACTGTGTGTTCCCAGGGCCGGGACCAAGGCGTGTGCTTGCAAACTTAGGGCTGTGGGAGCGCTGTGAGCGTGTGCTCTTTCACCAGGTGTTTTCAGACGCGTGACCAGGAGTGTGTGTGTCTGGGGACGGTGGTGGCTTTGAGGCTTCGGGGGAGGGAGGTGAAAACAGGCTCGAGGAGGTTGTAAAGGGTGTCCTGCTTTTGCCGAGGGCAGGGGACACCTTCAGACAGCCCTGCGGGTGACCTATGTCCGAGCTGCTGCTCCCTCCTGCCCTCTCCCCCTCCTGCCCCGATGGGGCACACTCCGGGTCATTTTCCCTCGCCCGAGGGGGCGCCTGGGTGCGGGGGCGCCTGGGTGCGGCGTTTTCAGGGACTAACACGTGCCGTCTGTGTTCGCAGCGGGCGGTGGCGGGTGACGCCTCCGAGTCGGCGCTCCTGAAGTGCATCGAGCTGTGCTGCGGGTCCGTGAAGGAGATGAGGGAGCGGTACCCCAAACTCGTCGAGATCCCCTTCAACTCCACCAACAAGTACCAGGTCTGAACCGGGGGGATTGGGGGGGGGGGGGGCGCTCAGAATGAAGAGAACCATGGGAGAACTTGTCTCCCTCGGGCGTTTGACAAGGTCAGTGTCTCCTGAAGGGGCATCACTCACACTGATCTTACTGTGGGCTCCACACAGAAAACCCTAACGGGCTTGGCTTCCGTAGGATGAGGGACGTGTTTCCTTCGGGGAAATGCTGTCGTCGGTGTGTGACTGTGTCACCGTGCTGGCCTTTTCTGTAGAATTCAGAGTGTGTTTCAGGTGTGAGGGTCTTGGTTTTTTTTTTTTCCAAAACAAAGACTTGAACGGGTCAGGGAGCTCTGTGCTCCCCCAGGTAGTGCCTCGCCCTCTCACCTGAGCAACAACCCTTTCTCTCCAGCTGTCCATCCACAAGAACCCCAACACGGCCGAACCCCGGCACGTGCTGGTGATGAAGGGGGCCCCGGAGAGGATCCTGGACCGCTGCAGCTCCATCCTGCTGCACGGCAAGGAGCAGCCGCTGGACGAGGAGCTGAAGGATGCCTTCCAGAACGCCTACCTGGAGCTGGGCGGCCTGGGCGAGCGTGTGCTGGGTACGCACGGGGCAGTGAGGCACTCCCTGGCCACACACACACACACACACACACACACACCCATTGTCGTGGAGACAGGAAGAGCCGGGGTAGGGGGAGGGGAGGCTGTCTGACCTTGGCTCTGTGTCCGTGGCCTGTGAAATCCATGGCATTGCAGTGAACTCCCGGGGCCTGTAGGTGAGCCAGCTCCCGGGGCCAGGGTGGCTGCGAGGCCATAGAGGAACGTGGGCTCCAGCCCATAATGTGGGCGCACGGGGACCTGCTGGCGGGGAGCTGCCTGCTGCCTCTGTCGGCCGCTGCAGGGCAAGATGAAAAGGGCTTTTGCCCGCAGGGGAGTCTCACGGTGAGAGCGGCTCTGCAGAAATCGTTCGTGTCATCTCCCCGTTCCCACAGCTTGGGGACCTTAGGCCTGGTGGCCTGGCCCATCGGGCTCCCCTGTGCCTCTGCCGCAGGAGGCCTGTGTGTCTGTCCACCCGGAAGGTCCCTCTGCACTCCAGTGCTCTCCACCCGCCTCCCAAGTAGGAGGGTCTCTCCTGTGCGCCCACACGGCCCCGTAGACCCTTTTTGAGTTCACTGTCACCCTCAGTCACGGGAAGGAAGGGGACGTTGGGACTGGTGGTGTGAAGGACTCGGTAACCCCCATGGGCAGGGCATCTGCGCTGCATTACCCCCAGCAGCCAGCAGGGCGGCCCGCAGTGCACTCGGTGTCCGGTTTGTGTGAACAAATGGTGAGCGGGGCTGTGGAAGCAGAGAGACCATTCCAGGACGTGCAGGTCGGAGCCACAGAGCGGGCAGGTCGGAAACCCCGAACCCCGCGCCCCGCCCACACCATCAGCGCCCTCTCCACACGACACGGGGCCTCTGCCTCGGAAGCTTGGCGTTTCTTTCAGAGGCTGTCATTCGTGTGCATTTCACAAATCCTTCGTGCTGTCCTAAACCTGGGCTTTCACAGACAGCCCCAGCTGGACACGCGGGGGAAGGTGGACGTGCAGGCGTCGCTGTCCTGCCCCGTCCCCAGCCCTCACGGCTCCCTGCCCCTCCCGCAGGCTTCTGCCACCTCCTGCTGCCGGATGAGCAGTTCCCCGAAGGGTTCCAGTTCGACACGGACGAGGTGAACTTCCCCGTGGAAAACCTCTGCTTTGTGGGGCTCATCTCCATGATCGACCCTCCCAGGGCCGCCGTCCCCGACGCCGTGGGCAAGTGCCGGAGCGCTGGGATCAAGGTAGGACACCCCCTCCCCGCACCCCGGGTGCCCGGGGCACCCCCAGGGACGGCGTGGCCCCTGGGAGCCACACGGCCAGCTGGTTCTCTCACCTCAGCTGTTCCCCCTCCAACGCGTCCGTCCCCCTGTCGGAAGAAAACAAATCTGTTAAGAACACTGGTGTAGACGGATGAGGGATTTTTTTCTTAGAAAACCTTTTTGGGGAAAGACACGTAAGCAAATTAAAAAGAGCAGGAGACTTGCTAAGGTTTTGAGTTTTTTTAATATTTGATTCTAAATATGCCTCATACAGGAAATGGCATTGTTTTCTGTGCTTCTCACTAACAGGGTTTTAATGAATGTTTGGAGTCTTTTTTTTTTTTAAATATATATTTTATTGAGCTTTTAGAGAGGAAGAGGGAAAGAGAATTAGAAACATTGATGAGAGAGAAACATCGATCAGCTCCCTCCTGCACACTACCTACTGGGGATGTGTCCCCAACCAAGGCACATGCCCTTGACCGGAATCAAACCTGGGACCCTCGGGTCTGCAGGCCGACACTCCGTCCACTGAGCCAAATCGGTTAGGACTGGAGTCTTCTTTCTCCACAGCCGGGGGCTTTTGAGGGGAAGCTTTTCATTCCCGTGATCCGAAAATACTTCCCTGAACGACTCTGAAAAGTGTTCCCTCTCGCTGATCACAGCCTCCTGCGTGCATTCCTCTCCGTGTCGCCCTTGGGTCGGGGAGAGGAGCAGCGAGTTGACGTTTTTGTCCCGTGTCGCTCTCCCCGAGTTGGGTCCCTCTGAGGATGGCGGTGGCACCGCCCCCTGCGGTCCCACCCGCACAGCAGTTTGGCAACCTTTTCCGGTTTGGGTAAATCTGAGCGTCCCATCTCACTGAGTAAACGGAAGAACAGACATTGTGTATCCTGGGTGATGGGCACCGAGATAAAACCTGGGTGTTGCCTCCTGTGTTTCCCTCGGTGAACACTCAGAATCGCCAGCATTCCTCTCCTCGGGGCGTGCCAGTCCGACCGTCCCTCCGAGCGCGTCCTCCTGCGCCGGTAGGCCTCGGGGTGGTGCTTGCCTCGCCGAGGCGCCCACTCACCGCCCTGCCCTCCCTGTTCCTGTCACAGGTCATCATGGTCACTGGGGACCATCCCATCACCGCCAAAGCCATCGCCAAAGGCGTGGGCATCATCTCCGAGGGCAACGAGACCGTGGAGGACATTGCTGCCCGCCTCAACATCCCCGTGAGCCAGGTGAACCCCAGGTGAGCAGCGGGCGCCGAGCATGCGGACGGCGGGGTTTCCTTCCGGGTCACTGCTGAGGGCCAAACAGGGCCAAACAGTGACCCACGCTGGCCATCATGGCCAGCTCGGGGGCGCTCACTGTCCTGAGGGTACTGTCCACTGGGCAGTACTACCTAGCACCTCGTCAGTTTCCAGTGCCACAAAACAGGGAACACACACACTCAGTTGCCCAGGTAGTTCAGGGCAAAAGGGAAAATTTTGGCAAAAGGAAGAACAGAAATAGATTTATTTTTCATGTTTTAAGGTTTAGGGCCCCTCTTTGGGGGTTCTCCCGTCTTTGGGGATTAGGGGAGGGGTCCTCTCTCCTGGGCTCCTGTCTAAAACCCAGCCATCAGATCTCACTGTGTATTTCACGGGGCAAGGGAGGCGACAGGCCTGCCCTGGGGGAGTGATGGAGTGACGTACGATACGAGGTACTGTGCGGAGAGGAGCTTCCGTGGGGTGGGACATTCCCGGGCTCCGTGCCGCTCAGAGCGTCCTGCCTTGGAAGTGACGGTGACCTTCCCCCCGGTTCCGACCCCAGGGACGCCAAGGCCTGCGTGGTGCACGGCACCGACCTGAAGGACATGACCTCCGAGCAGCTGGATGACATCCTCAAGTACCACACGGAGATCGTGTTCGCCAGGACCTCCCCGCAGCAGAAGCTCATCATCGTGGAGGGCTGCCAGCGGCAGGTCAGTGCGCGGCCAGGACTCAGAGATGCACACGCGCACACACACACATACACGCACGGCCCCGCTCTCCTCGGACTCGGTGCCCGGTCCCAGGGCGAGGCTCAGGGCAAGGGCAGGGTGATAGCGGTTTAGTGGTGACATGCGCTTCCCTGCGGAGTGGCCAGGCTCCTGTCCACACCGGCCAGAGGGGCCAGGAGGCATGACCTTGAGAAGGGGGGGGGGGTGTGTAAAAGAACAGGGGTTCCAACCCGAGTGCCACTCACCGAGTCCTGGCTGGTGGCCCTCGCTGAGGAGGGCGAGGGGTTGGCTGCCACTCCGGCTCGGTGGCCTGGCAGCAGGGGTGTGGGTCTGAGACTGCTCCTTCTCCTGCCAGGGCGCCATCGTGGCCGTGACCGGTGATGGTGTCAACGACTCCCCCGCTCTGAAGAAGGCGGATATCGGGGTTGCCATGGGGATCGCCGGCTCGGACGTGTCGAAGCAAGCTGCCGACATGATTCTCCTGGATGACAACTTTGCCTCCATCGTGACCGGAGTGGAGGAAGGTGAGGGCCACGTGCGAACGGGACGGCCCGCCACCCCCGCGGCCCCACACTCCCCGTCGGGGTCCATGGCTGCACCTGGACGGCGTGGGGAGCGCGCAGTCCACGTTGTCAGCGAGACTGTGAAAACCCTGCCTTCCCAGGTCGCCTCATCTTTGACAACTTGAAGAAATCCATTGCCTACACCCTGACCAGTAACATTCCAGAGATCACCCCCTTCCTGATATTTATTATCGCCAACATTCCGCTGCCGCTGGGCACCGTCACCATCCTCTGCATCGACCTGGGCACGGACATGGTGAGTGTGCGGCCGCGTCCACACAGAGCCAAATACCAACAATGGAACCATTGACATTTCTTTGGAGAGCCACATTTTTTAAACTTAAACTTCTTCTAACGCCGCTTCTTCAAAACAGGCTCGACCAGGCCATGGTATTTTGTGGAAGAGCCACACTCAAGGGGCCAAAGAGCCGCATGTGGCTCGCGAGCCGCGGTTTGCCCACCGCGGGCCTAGGGTTAAGGGGGGGGCGGCATCTATGCTTCTTGGGCCCACGTGACCACCATGAGGAAGAGAACTTGGGGAGCAGTTTCCAGCATCATGTTGGGCTTCAGGGCATAACTGTCAACACCTACTGATCAGACAGGAGTCCTGCCTTTTGTAGAACTTTGCTGCTTTATTTGTTCGGGGAGGGGGAGGTCCGGGGACTGTAATATCTCCTGGTGTGAAAAGTGATTTTTAAAGCAGGGGTGAAGCAGGCATTTTATTAGAAAAGGTGTTTGATGCCTGGAACCCCTTCCTCCCCAGGTCCCCGCCATCTCCCTGGCCTACGAGCAGGCGGAGAGCGACATCATGAAGAGACAGCCCCGAAACCCCAAGACTGACAAGCTGGTGAATGAGCGGCTCATCAGCATGGCCTACGGGCAGATCGGTGAGCACCCGGCCGGCAGGGAGCGGGCGAAGGGACCGAGGCTGCGGTGGTGCTGCCTCAGAGCCAGGATCACCGTGCCCTTGGGGAGGGGGTAAAGTCCTCCACGGGAGGGGCTGCTCGGTGCCGCCTGCCACTGAGGCTGCCCCTTTGGGTGTTGGACGCGGGCCCAGCACATCACCTCCAGGGGGGCTTTGCCCGGGATACGCTGTGTCATCACTGACCTGGCCAGAGGGTGGGCTTTGCAGTTACCTGGTTTAAAGGCTTGGCTGGCAGGTCACCACCCAATGGGCTTGGTGTCTGTTCCTCCTGCGGAGTGTGGCCAGCTCACAGGGCTCCGAAAAGGCCTTGGATGTAAACCAGCGGTTCTCAGGCCTGTGGGTCTAACGATCCTTTCACGGGGATCGCCTAAGACCATCGGGAAACACAGATATTTACGTTACAATTCATTCACAGCAGCAAAATTACAGTTATGAAGTAGCAATGAAAATAATGCTATAGTTGGGGGTCCATCACATGAGGAGCTGTATTAAAGGGCCGCGGCATTAGGGAGGCTGAGAACCGCTGGTCTAAACACTTTGCCTCGTCGTTACCAACGGAACCTGGTGGGGCCGCCGTGAGCCCCCCGTTCTGACTCAGGGCTGCCTCGCAGGGGGCACTCGGGGAAATGGGACAGATGAACGTAACAGCTGCTGACAGCAAAGGAACTGGCTGGTAGCCCGTCCAGCTCCGCCAGGAAGACCTAGTTCTGAGCAGAAGGAAGACTAGGTCCAGGGTGTGGGGTGACATTCCGTGCTGAGGAGCTTGGTGGGGGGAGGAGGCGGGGTCAGAAAGTGCCACGTGCATTACTTCCGAGGTGGCCTCAAAAGGCACCGGGCACGGATGCTGAGGGATGGGGGGAAAGTCTGTTTCTCGGGCTGAAAAGTAGGGACGCCATTCTCAAGGTCACACCCTGCATGAGACTGATGCCCGAGTAGCCGAGGGGTGTTGAGAGCAGGGCCCTCCTCCTGTCTTACCCTTCTGAGTTCTAACGAGGTGATCAGAGGCGAGAAGGCACTGGGCGTGTGCCCCTGGGTCCTGTCCCCTGGTCTTCACCGGTGAGGGAGCAGACAGCACTGCCGAGTCTCATCCACCAGAGCCGCCCCCTCCCTCCCCGCTCCCCCCGAGTGCCCCCAGGCCTGCCACCCGTGGGAGGAAGCGGGTGCAGACGCCCTGTCCCGGGCTCTGGCACGAAAGGCCGTCTTCCCTCCTCAGGTATGATCCAGGCCCTGGGCGGCTTCTTCACGTACTTTGTGATCCTGGCCGAGAACGGCTTCCTCCCCATCAACCTGCTGGGCATCCGCGTGGACTGGGACGACCGCTGGGTCAACGACGTGGAGGACAGCTACGGGCAGCAGTGGGTGAGTGCGGCCCCGGCCCGCACCCGGGCCCCGGGGGACGGCGGCCGCGGCCCTCGCCATCGCCCTCATCGCCGTGCTGAGCCCCCGCCCGTGCCTTGCAGACCTACGAGCAGAGGAAGATCGTGGAGTTCACCTGCCACACGGCCTTCTTCGTCAGCATCGTGGTGGTGCAGTGGGCCGACCTGGTCATCTGCAAGACCCGGCGGAACTCCGTCTTCCAGCAGGGCATGAAGTGAGTGTGGTCCGCGGCCCTCAGCGCCGGGCGGGTCCCCGGGATCCAGCTTGGGGGAGCAGAGTGGGGTGTCCTACACGTTTTTCCCCATTGACCTCCGGTTCTTACTGTGCGACCCATACATAACCTGAAGGACTGATCGGCCTTTTAACACTTTGCATTGGAGCAGTGGTTCCCGGCCTTCCTGAGTGACGCGGCCCTTTAACACAGCTTCTCGTGCCGTGGTGACCCCCAACCGTGAAATCGTTCTCGTTGCTACTTCGTAACTGTCGTTCTGCTACTATTAATGAATCGTCACGTAAATGTCTGTGTTTTCCGACGGTCTTGTGCGACTCTGCCAGCGGTTCTCAACCTGTGGGTCGTGACCCCTTTCGCTGGGGTCGCCCGAGATCATCGGGAAACACAGGTGACGATTCGTAACAGTAGCAATGGAAATACTTTCATGGCTGGGGGCCACCGCAGCGTGAGGAACTGTGTCAGAGGGCCTCGGCATTAGGAAGGTCGAGAACCGAACCGTTGCTCTAGAAGATAAACCTGTGTCTGCCTTGCTAAGCACTCACCCCCCCCCCCCTCTTGATTTTAGGAACAAGATCCTGATATTCGGCCTCTTTGAGGAGACGGCCCTCGCTGCTTTCCTTTCCTACTGCCCCGGGATGGGAGTCGCCCTGAGGATGTATCCCCTCAAGTAAGTCCCCGTCCGCCGCGCTCACAGAGGGAGGCGGTGCGTGTGGCTGTGCCCTCGGACACAGCCGTCGCTCTCACCCGAGGCCTGTGGGTGGTGAGCGCAGGGACTCCTGGGAGGAGAACTGGCAGCGAAAAGCTGGCGGAGCAGCGAACCCAGAAACTCCCTTGTGTCCCGGGTCAGGAGGGACCAAGCTCGGGGGGCGGCTCTTGCTCCCGCTCCCTGCATCAGGCACCCAGCCGGGCCCTCTCCTGCCAGCCACAGGGCAGCTAGGGTGTCCTGGAGTTTGGGGATCCAGATTCGGTGACTTGCTTACCTCGTCACTGTGTGTCCCATCGTGAGCCCTGCTTTTGTGGGCCCCTGAATCCCCTGCTCGGAGAGGAGAGAGGCTGGAGTTGCAGGGCAGAGGCCCCTCGCTCTAACGCCAGAATAGGGAGTGGTGAGCAGAGGAAGCACCGCCAAACAGCCTGGCCTTCAAGCTGAGCGTTCACACCTGATGCTCACCACACCCTCCCGTCGCTCTGGGAAGCATAGTGTGCAGTGGTGCCTGCAAACCGATGGGGCTTACGCCGCTGCCCCTTGTTCAGTGCGCGGAGCCACAGCAGGGAGGGCCCTACAGTGCATCCTGGACTTCAGGCAGCAGCCTCCCGCTCAGCTCGGCCAGCCCATGCCACCCCCTCCTCGGGGACGCCCGGGTGGGGGTGTGCGGGTGTCTGCTGGCACACGGGCAGCCGAGGCCTGGCTCATTGTGGTCCCAGCCTGTCTTCCTCCCCCACCTGGCTGATGGGTAAATCCACACTCTTTGCCTGTGGCTCCAACTGGTCCCTCCCAGCTGGTCTCCCTCTTGTGTGTGCCCGTGGCACCTCGTCTGCGGCTCTTTGTCATTTCTGCTCTGCTAGGTTCTAATCTTCAGGCCTGGGCCACACTGTTTTGTTTAACTTTGTGTCCCCAGCACACAGGTGGCCTACGACAGGGCAGGCATGTCCCCGGGGATATAATAGCATCCAGGCCGCTGTTTACCAAGGGGAGGTTAGGAGAGGGAGCTCCGAAAGGCTCCAAGTCCCACTAAATGGGGTAGGCCCTCGGGACACCTTGCTCTGACAAGGGGTTTGTTCGTGACACTCTACCCAGTTTGGAAGGCGAATTAATCACCCTGGCGCCCGAGCCCAGTGAGGACCCCAGCATAGCCTTGCCCGCACACTGACTGTGGGAATCTGGTCGGGAAGATGGCATGGCCTCCACGGGGGACCGCTCAGGGTTCCCCTCTCCGGCCCCTGACCTGTGAGGGTGCAGCTTGTTCCTTCCCCAGGCCTGGCACTCAGAGCACCAGGCTCAGTGTCCCACAGCTCACCCACAGACCAAACTCGGGGGGTGCATGAGCCAGGGGTGACCCTCGCTGGCAGTTTTTTTGTCTTCAAGGGACATCACTCCCTAAACACTTGGCAAAGGGAGGAGAATGTCCTGTCCACAAAGAAATCCAAACCTGCCTTGTAACCCGATTCTCACGAGAACCACGCCGAGGCTGGCCGGCTGGGGCTCCTCCCGCCTTCCCCGGGCGCAGAGCGGCAGCCCGGCGTCTCAGGCTCAGGGGGTGTGCTGTGTCAGTGGTGTCGAGCTCGATGTGTGTTCTGTGTCAATGGTGACCGCCTCTATTTCAGACCTACCTGGTGGTTCTGTGCCTTCCCGTACTCCCTCCTCATCTTCGTGTACGACGAAGTCCGAAAGCTCATCATCCGGCGAAGCCCTGGAGGTAAAGGAGAGGCATCGTTAGTGTTGGGGGCTGGCGGGAGGCGGGGGGGGGGGGGGGGGGGGGGGGGGGGGGGGCTATGGTCTGCAAGCTTTTGTCCGTTTCCGGTGCCGTGTCTGGGCTCGGCCTGCTTGGCTGGGGCCCTCAGACCAGCTGATTGCTGGCCCCGGGGACGGTCCCATCCTCAGAATGAACCTCAGGGTGTTAACCCACACGGTGCAGGGTGAGTGCCGTCTGGAGCCTAACGCGCCTTTTCCTCCTCCCTTTCCCGGCAGGCTGGGTGGAGAAGGAGAGCTACTACTAGCACCCGTCCTGCACGCCGTGAGCATCGTGCCACCCGCACCCTCACCCACCCTTTTGTGTACTTCAGTCTCGGAACTCAGAACTCCACCCTGGTAGGAAGCACTGAAGCATGGGGGAAGGAGCCGTCCCGGAATGAAGCATGTAGCTCTAGGGGGGGAGGGGGGGGGGGCTGCCTGACAAACATCCGTCTGTGGGAATGACCGCGGGGAAGGTTTTTATGTGCCTTTTTGTTTTTGTAAAAAGGAAATCATGGAAAGACCGAAAGAATACATTTTATATCTGGATTTTTACAAATAAAGATGGCTATTATAATGGAACTGTGTCTCCTGCCCTCTTCACTTGTGCGGACCTGGTGTGTGTGTGTGTGTGTACGCGCGCACGCATCACCCTAATACTTAGCACAGCAAACCCAGAGCCAGGGGCCAGCAGCAATAAGCTCTGGGGGTGAAGTCACGCCCAGAGGGAACTTCGGGGCTGTAGGACCTGAGCGCCCCACCCCACTCCACCGTGCTGGGGGCTCCCTCTGGTGCGGCTGGAACTCCCCTGTGACCCTCACGGCCGTGCACGTCTCAGGAGGGGTTTCCAGGTGCTCAGCGTGATCAGCAGCAGAGGAGGCCCCCACCCCTTTCTTCTCCCTCAGGTCCCGCAGGGTCTGGACCCACGTCCGTCCGTCCGAGGAGCAGAAACCTCCGCCTCCCAGCCCCGTGCTCCTCACACAGCCCGCCCCTCCCACCAGCTTTCCTCACTCCTCAGCTCAGAGGGCAGGTAAAAAGGTGAGAGCGCCCTTTATTTCAGGAGCGAGCTGAGAACACCTGCTCTCAGAGCGCGGGTGACAGCCCCTCTGCCTCACCCACTGGGCACTCCGTCCCGGGCGCTGTGCCTGCCCTCGCCCCTGCCCGCCCGGGCTCCTAGCAGGTCCACGTCCTCACCTCGCACCAGGGGGAAGGGGAGATACACGATCTGCCAGGTGACCTGAGAGGGTTCAGGTGTTTTGTTTTGTTTTTTCTCCGAAAAGCTGTAATTCCTTGTTCACGGCTCTTGGGGGATCACCTGGCAGATCTTGGGGGCTGGTCCTGCCCGGCTGACGGAGGGGAGGGGCACGGTAGTTCTCACTGTCCCCCAGCCTGTTTCTCCGTGACTCCTAGTCTGACTCACTAGCTCCCTCGTCTCCGGCACCTGTTTCCAGGATGATCTCCGCACGTGGAGGCAGATCTTCCTCAGAAACAGCTGCTTTGTCCAGCCCCACGGGAGGAAACCAGGCTGAGGTACCCGTGGAGACCTCAGGGTCAGAGGCGGAGGGACAGGCGTCACAGGTCCTTGGGGAGGACGGGGTGAGGCCACCCCCTGCGCTCAGACTGCGGGGCCTTGTCATGTTTGCTGCGTGTCCCCTCACTGCCGCCGCCCACGCCTGCTCTCTGGCACCCATGTGGGCTGATGCGTGAACACACGCTCCTGAGACCAAGGCCCCGGGTGCTTCCTCGCTTAGGAGGGTGTGATGCAGCCTGAGACCACGGGCTCTGGAGGTGGCCCAGAGGGCCCCCAGACACCCCTCAGCAGCCCCAGATTCCCAGGAACACCCAGAGGGAGGGCAGAGGAAGGCTCGGAACTCCAACAAGAATCCCCTGAATAAACTCTCTCTAGCCAAACATTCCACCCAGAGAAAGCATAAAACCTGCACCAAAAACAGGCCCCCCAACGGGCCAATCTCCCAAACGTCCAAAAGGCAGCGAGAGTGAGTCCTCGGCCTGTTTCTGCACGTCTGCACCCTCTCACTTGGGCCCCGTCTATAGCGGCGAGAGGTCACTCTAGCTCCACCTGCTCCTGAGGACTGGCCAGGCCACTGTCCACCCTGCAGAGGGGCTACTGGAGCCGCTGACTGCCCTCCAGTGCCTGACACTGGCCACATGCCCCTCTGCCCCCCTCCACCGCCGAGCTCAAGTCAGGCCTCGGCCTCTGTCCAGCTCCTTGCTCTCACGGACAAGCTCCTGACAACAGCCCCGATGGCTGCCCGCTGCGTGCTCCCCTCCTCCCCGTGCACCGGCCTCTGAAGCGTCCTGGGCGAGGACACGCTGACCTGCTGGTTATCTGTCAGCCCCCGTGGGGCCTATGTGCCTCCTCCACATGCTTTCCGAAACCAGGCGCCTCATCACTGTCATCCCTTCTGCCCACTCCTCCGCCTTCTCCCCTCCCCCCACCCCAGGTCCCTCATGGAGGCCCTGCCCACTCCTCTGCCTCCCCCCACCCCCACCAGGTCCCTCATGGAGGCCCCGCCCCCTCCCCTGCCCGTTTCCTTGTCTCCCTGGGGCTTCCAGCACATTTCCAACTCCAACCCTGTCACCTGAGCCCTGGGCCCGCACGTCCAGTGTCTGCTGGACCCCTGTGTGAGTACGGAAAGAGCATAGCACCGAGTCTCAGCCCCATGGCAGACCTGAGCTGGAGGTCCCTCAGAGTGAACTTGCTCTAGGCCAGGGGTGGGGAACCCGTTTTCCGCCACTGGCCTTTTGGGTATTTATAACATCGTGCGTGCGAGGGCCATTTGAAACGATCAGCTTATGAATTAGCCTGCTGTGGATGATCAAACATTTAACTCCCTCGGCCCGAAGGCCTGGGCTGATTCCATGGGCCGTCTCTAGGGTCTCCAGCCCTGAGGATTGTACAATATGTTCCCCACCCCTGCTCCAGGCCATGACCTCCCATCGCCTCCGTGTCAGAGACCTGGAGGGCTTCTCTCGCCCCTGCCTGGCTGGGGCCCCTCCGGTCGGTGGCTGGTGATTCCAACGTGGTAGCCGAGCACACCGGCCTGTGGTTAACAGCCTACACACAGTCAGGCCCTGGCAGTGGACTCATAGTGCAGCCTCTGCTTCCTTTTCTCTGGAATCGGAGTGACGGTCAGGGCTGTTAAAGGGGTGGGCAAGAGCGTGTGTGAAGGGTGAGCAGTGGCCGTTGCTCCGTGAATCCTGAACGTCGCCAACCGGGCGGTGTCCTCCCTGCCCTCTAAATCCAAGGGGTTCGCACAGCCCTTGCTCAGGACCAGCGTCACCCAGAGCCTGTTAGAAAGGCACATTCTGACTCAGACAAACCGAATCAGAAGCGGGTGGGACCCCGCAACCTGATAAGCCTCCCAGGTGATCGACACGTGCAAATCTGGGCACCGCGGCGCTCCCCCATCTCCCGAGCTCCACCTGGCCACCTCCTCACCCTCCGTGCCTTCACCCCAGCCCAGCCCATCTGCTCGGCATTCACACACACAGCTGGGAGCCTCCTGTGTTCCTCTGAGATTCACCCTTCCTGCCTGCCACCGTGTGCCAGCTGCATTCTCCCAGCTGACCGCGGGCCCTTCCGGAGACCAGGCAGGCCGGCCCTCGGGTGTGTCTGGGCTCCGTCTGACTGGCTGAGGCCAGGGGACCATCCGTAAACTGGCTCCAGTGATGGTCCCATCCTCAGAATCGAACCTCACCGTGTTAGGCTGTCGCACGCCTGACAGTGGCCCTTTGGCCTCCTGATCGGTGTGTCCCCTGGATTCCTGAGCACAGAGACCGGGCCATGCCTTCCCCAACAGCTGGCACAGTCAGTGCTTCTGAATCAACAAAAGCTCATCACCACACTTTGCTGTTGCCCAAGCAGCCGTCTGCTAACATTGCCCCCACCTGGGTCTGCTTTTTTTTTTTTTTTTTTAATATATTTTATTGATTTTTTTTTTTTTTTTTTTTTTTTTTTTTTTACAGAGAGGAAGAGAGAGGGATAGAGAATTAGAAATATCGATGAGAGAGAATCATCGATCAGCTGCCTCTTGCACACCCCCTACTGGGGATGTCCCCGCATCTAAGGTACATGCCCTTGACCAGAATTGAATCTGGGACCTTTCTGCAGCCAAACCGGTTTTGGCTGTGTCTGCTTTTTGAATCAAGGAAATCTGTGCCTAGGCTAACAGTCTATAAGTTAGAGTCAGTCTCTCTCCCTTTTTCTCTCTCTCTCTCGACTTTGAAGTTGAAGTTGGAAATGAGCGTGTATTGAGAAGGGGTCACTCATGGCATTAGGATGGCAGGTGATGGTGGAAGGTAAAGAAGATGAGATCTACAAAGAGACAGACATCCCCAGGGATCTGGTCCCTGGACCTGCCTGGGTTCCAGAGCTTTGGCACCCCTGTGCTGGGCCCCAGGTGGTCTCACTGGAAACCCTTCCCAGCTACCACTTTGTTGAGACTATTGACAGCTGATTCCTGCTCTATTTCCTCGCGGAGCTCACAATTCTATTTGTTACTCAGTGATGTGATTAACGGATTACCCGCTTTCCCTGCTAACAAGCTCCATGAGGTCCGGCCGCCTGTCTGTCCTTTTCCGTGTTATCCCTGGCTCTCAGCTCACTACTTTAAAGAGAAAAGCCAGCAGTCAGTGGCCACTGCTTCCCATTTAAAGAGAAGGATAGCCGGGACTGGTCTGGCTCAGTGGATAGAGCGTCGGCTTGGGGACTGAAGGGTCCCAGGTTCGATTCCGGTCAAGGGCATGTACCTTGGTTGCGGGCATATCCCCAGTAGGGGGTGTGCAAGAGGCAGCTGATCAATGACTCTCTCTCATCGATGTTTCTAACTCTCTATCTCTCTCCCTTCCTCTCTGTACAAAATCAATAAAATATATATTTTTAAAAAATAAAATAAAAAATAAAGAGAAGGGTAGCTGTTCAGTTAGTTAAAGCTGGTGACGTAGGAGGATCAGAACTCACAGCCTCCCATGGACCCTGAATCTACAGCCACATTTGGAACTGTTTCCTCTGGGAAAAACCTAAAAGCTAGCTGAGCAACTCCTATACATACACCTGGCAAATGGGGGTGGAGAGTGGGGTAGGAAAGGCTAGGACGCAATTTTGTCCTAGGCCCACCAGGCATGGCGACCCACATCTCTGAGCTCCCTAATAAGCGAAGGGTTTGAGCCCCACATCGGCACCCCAACTTAAAACCTGCCCCAGAGAAATGAGCCCCCAAAACCTCTAGCTTTAGAAGTGGTG